ATTCATTATCGAAAAGTCATCTCCCACCTCTATTAGGCCCATGATGCCATCCTCCATCACCTACTTGTTAAATTTTCAAACAAGCATCTTCATGCTTTTTCCCAGGCTGCCCCTCACACTTGGAGAAGCTCCCTGAAAACATCTGCAAAACTAACTCATTATCCACCTTAAAACTCTCCTTTGCTCTGAGGCCCACAAAAAACTCGGCAATGGTTAAGTTGCTGGTGTACTGAGACCACTGCCTATCATGCTTCCAAATATTGTTTCATTGTTTCCTTGTACTCCCCTGTCTGTATGCATCAGACTGGGAGCGGTTGGGTCATTACAAAACCTAAACCTAATTTCCCCCTTACTGTTACTCTCACCTTCTTGTCAACTGTCTGAAATGGGCCACTCTCATTACCACTTCAAAAGTTATTTTTCCTCCCTTGGTATCCTGCTGTTAATTGAATTGTCTTGTTAGACTGACCTTACACTTGATAAGGCAACTCCCATCCTTTCATGCATTTATACCTGCTCCTGTATTTTCCACTCCATGCATCTGATGATGTGGGTTCTAGCCCGTGAAAGCTTATGCCCAAATAAATTTGTTAGTCTCTAAGGTGCCACAAGGACTCCTCGTTGTTTTTATCAGTTGTCTTGTGTCTTATGTTTAGATTGCAAGCACTTTGGGGAAGGAATTTTTTTCTCTCCTGTGTTTGTACAGCACCAAGCACATTGGGGTCTGGTTCATGATTGCGACTGCTAGATGCTTCGGTAATACAAATTAATAATAATCATAATACCTGAATAGGTGAATTGATAGCTGGTGTGATCTGATACACCAATTCTTGTCTTTTGACTGGTGCTTAAAGCTTTAAATGAAGCTTTAAAACTCACTTATCCAATTATACAGTTTCCTATAGGTCCATTGGCCACTTTTGGTAGATGAAGCTCAAAAAAACCCCTCTTCAGGGTTGGAACTGTTTTTGTAATATGCTTGTGCAGCACCTAGCGCAGTTGGGCCTGCGTCTCTGGATGCTACCTCAGTACAGCACCTAGCATTAGGGTCATAGTACTTAACTGGGGCTCCTAGGCACTACCACAATAGTATTTTTATTATTTATATTTTGTAAATAAAAGAGTTGCTCAAATAAAAATTAAGGGAAATTTTAGATTTCTTAAATGACAATTATTTTGAATCTGTTTTAGACTTGCCATTATGAATAATTTATTTTTCCCTTATGCAGAATGGTAGCAGAAGAAGAACGCCAGGAGGAGTTTATTTAAATCTGCTGAAGAATACACCTAGCATTACTGGAGAGCAAATCAAGGTAAACATGTTAGATTGTAAATTATTATGACTCAAGTAAATTAAAATCCTTCTTTGAAGAACTAATAATTTTGAGTGCTTTTTTTAAAGGGAGGAGGGTTAAATTAATATGAAAATGTTCATTGTGACAATCTGTAACTGCACACACAAAAAAATGTTAAAAAGACATATTTAAGGGTGGAAAGTCAAGGCCTCAAAAGTTAGGGAATGCCAGTCTCCTTGATTCAGCTGCTTACAGTGTGTATGTGTAATGACTAGGGATCTATTTAAATTGCAGAGAAATTGCACATTTTTTGTGGGTTGGTCATGGCATAAATAGCAAATTTTGCAGATGTGTTCATACAGTATATGTACCAAAATACAAATGTAACAATAGTACACTACAGTAAGTGGCCCAGAGGTTCTCGAAGCTTTTTTTGCTGGGATCCCTTTTGAAAATATTACAGGCTGTGACAATCTGCCCCCCTTCCAAAAAAGTGATCCTCGTGCCCCATACCATACCACACTTGTGCACTGATGCTGGCAGCAGCACACAGAAGGGTGGCAATGCCATGGACCCCCACCTACAATAGTTGGGCTATTCCTTATAAATAGCTCAATTACCATTTCTATACTTTTCTAATACGTCTTTAAAGATTGAATTTGGGTCACTTAGCCTGCTAGTTGCTCAACCCTTTCTGGATTAGTGGCAGTCTTATTATTTTAAAGATTAAAGGCAATAATATTAATGGCTAGGTACGTGTAGGGCTTTCACTTGTTTTTTTTCCCTTAGCATTTATAAGGCAAACACTTGCATAATCAGCATATTAAATAAATATTTTCCTCTTCAAGGAAATCTTCTATGTTGAAAACCAGAAGGAGTATGAAAACAAAAAAGCTGCTAAGAAGAGGAGAATACAGGTTCTAGGAAAGAAGATGAAACAAGCTATTAAAGGGCTCAACCTTCAAGAGTATGATGATGCATCTCGAGAAACTTTTGCTAGTGACACAAATGAGGCCCTGGCTTCTTTGGATGATTTACAGGAAGGACATGGTGAAACAAAGCTGGATCCGGAGGATGCCATTGAAATTGATAATGCTCATGATCTGGAGATCTTTTAGTCATTAATGGACTGGATACGTAGAAGAACTAAATCTCTGACATATTAAATCAGCCTTTTATATTATACTTCTGTGTACTTGTTTTAATAAATTGCACAAGTAAATATGATTGGAAACACTTGTATTTTGGAGAGAACTTGATATAATTTAGCTAAATGTAAGTGCTTGGTAGAGATGTTACCTGTCCTATTTTATCAGTCTGGTCATTGTGTCCTTCAGAAGATGTTAAAATGTTTTAGATAATTCTCTGTCTTATAAAATCTGTTGCTGATGATTTTCGCTTAGTTGGCAAATTTGGGAATAAACTCAGGGCTAGTGTTTAAACAAAAAAACATATTTCATCTGTCAAAGCTAAAAAGTCATACTCAAGCAGGCGCTACTCCTAAATCTAATGGGTGGGAAAAAGCATTTTGCTAATATAAAATACATATTCGTATTAAAGGTCCTATATTTTTAATATGGCAAAATACTGAGAAATATTACTTTTTTATAGGACTAAAAGTCTTGTAAAACCTTCTCTGGTGGGTTTGCTCAAAGGCAACTAGGTTACTGCGGTCTTCAGTCTCTTGGGTAACAACCTATTTTCTCAAAGTAATCAATGGTGGATAGTACATTAGGCATAACTTTATAAAAGGCTCTGGTCCCTCCCATTTCTTATGATGATGAACTGAACTAGCTATCTTTTTTGTATACAATTTTGCAATATTGGACATAAGTCATTCAAACCATTGCTCTGAACTTCTATTGATCATGACTGATCTTTTTGCTGAATAGGTCAGATGCTAATTTGAGATTCCCTTAAAGGATTTGTCTGCTCCATATTCTGTATGCATGCAGAAACAAAAGTGTTAGGTTGAGTTTTTTGCATGATTTCTACCTTTACAATATTCAGAGAATGTGTACAGAGATTTGAGCACAGGAGTGTGTCAGGAATTTGAGTTCTAATCCCATCTGTCACCTTGCCTTCTGTTTCATTTTTTTCCCATTTCTAAATGGGGATAATACCTACCAAGCTTACAAAGGAGTTGTGAGGGCTACTTAGTTAATGTTGGTAAAGCACTTTGAAGATGGTACTTGATATAAGTGCTGAGCATTCTTTTTGTTTGGGATATAGCAGAAGAACTTGTGTGTGCTAGATTATTCATGCAGCACGAACATCTGACATCTTAATGTTACTTAGAGTTGAGTGTTCTATGAATGGAACACGTTAGTTTTCAGTTTAAAATGTTTCCAAAACAAAAAGCCTGATCCTGTAACTTTTCCCCATCCAAAACTTCCATTAATTTCAGGACAATACAAGAGCAATAGAAAAACAATATACAGTAGCATCCATGTGCAATTCTGTTTAATATGGTGAAATTCAACACATTCCAAAATATCTGAAGCTTAGGAAAAAAATCTATAGGAAGAGTATCCATAAAGTTGATCATCCTCCAACAGTAGTGATTTGTGACAGAGTATTTGTGTGGCTGTTCTCAATTATTTAATTTTTAAAAGAATGAGAAATTTAGCATCCTCAGGGCTTCTGTTCTCTGTTGCCACACTTTTCTGTTTAGATTTATAGATCTCATTTTAGCAAAAAGTAAGTTTAGTGGCTGTATACCATACCCAAAATTATATGAACTTTTACCAACCATAATAGTGAAGTAGGAAAAAGATGAATTGAGTACTTTTAAAATCACTTAGAAAAACATTAGCCTGACCTATAGCAAATAGCATAAAGACACTGCATTTGTGAGATCTACCTAGGAGAAGAGTGGTGAAATTTCCCATATTTGGCTCAGTTTACGGCTGTAGAGTGCAAAAAATAAAGATTACAGCTTTAAAATTGTTTTTGGTGCTTCTGGTGAGGTTTCTTAAGTTTTTTGAGATATTAACTGTGCACAAAGCAGTATGACCATATGTACAAACAGATTAGAATGCAATTTTTTTTACTACTGAAAAAAACACCTGGACCAGGTATTAATATGGGGATGAGCTATCTTCCCTACTGTGGCTTTAAACTAATGTTTATTACCTATCAATTTGTGCTCAGACAAAGCTTAATTTGTAAAGAAAGCGGTGTAGGGGCTCAAGCAATTTTTTTACTTTCAGAAGTGAGGCAGCAAGCCCAGAGGGGGGCTATGAACAGCCAAGCCTAGACTTGTGAGTAGGGTGACCAGATGTCCTGATTTTATAGGGACAGTCCTGATTTTTGGGTCTTTTTCTTATATAGGCTCCTATTACCCCCCTGCCACCCCTGGTCCCAATTTTTCACACTTGCTGTCTGGTCAACCTACGTCCAAGGCTCAGAGATGGGACATATCAAGTACTGTGCCCATGCCACTTCAGAGAACCAGTATCTTTGGCACTATGGTGATGATACTGAGCACAAGTTCCCTCATAGCAATGAGCCAAAAATGGGGTTAATCACTTTAACCCTTTCCATGCACATTCTTCCCTCTTTGTATCTCCCTTTAAGCCTTAGCTCACAAGGGTCCCTTCTGCCTGCCAAGTGTTCTGGGAAACGTACTAATTAAGGGAATACTTAGGCGTCCCATTAGGTACTGGGAATGAATTTAAGGGTGGAGGGTCAACCTTTCTCCAGTGCTGATGGTTGAGCACATTCTCCCTTACTTGTGCTCAGCGCCCCCTCTCGCCTCTGCCACAGTCACATCTGCAGCAGGAAGGGTCTGTGGTTCCCCTCTGGTGACGCTGAGGGTGGGGGCGTATCTTGCCCCTTCTCCTTGAAACCTCGGGCAATTCCGTCTCCGGAGCAAGTCCATCCCCTGGCTTGTTTGCAGGTGCAGTGCAGAGGAGCTACACCTGCCCTCCGCGCCCGCCCAGCCTGGCCACCTTCTGGAACGTGGGCGGTGGCGGCGGCTGCTGCATCACAAAGGCGCCCACGCCGGAGCGACCCCGCGCTGCGAGCGGTCCCGGCGCTGGAGAGGCCGCGGGGAGTCGGGAGTGGGCTGCATCCGCCATGGTCTCCGTCGGGACCAACACGGACCTCAAAGGGTGAGAAGGAGGAATATGGGGCTGGTGCGCCCAGCAGCTCCCCCACCCCCGTACCCGCACATCCCCCCCGCACTCCCGTATCCGCATTTGGACGGGCTAATGGGGGCCACCCTACTAATCTCTGAACTCTCCCTGAAGTGGCATCAGTCACCTCTCCGTTCTGCTGGCCCCTTCTCTGCTTATTCCCTCCCACGTGTCTAAGGGAGCGGGTCGGCATTGATTTCAGATTGGCAGCTGCCAGGGCTTTCCCCAGAGCAGGGACCTTCCAGCACCTAGGTTGGCCCTGCCTCAGACTGCCAGGTGTTAGCAGACACCCCTCGTTCTGTGCCTTGTTTCTAAACTAGATTGTTGCTGTCCTCAGGGCAGGAAGCATCTTTGCCTGGGAAGTGTCAGGTAGGCCCCTTGTATCCTGGGCTTACAGACAGAAATACAACCTTCTCCTCTGCCCCAAGAAGCGCTCCCATAGGCACCCTACATATAGAGTAGAGCACCAGGACCACACTCAGCCAGATGCAGACCTCAGGGTCCCACCACAAATGGAGGAGTAGCTCACAAACCATGCCCCTGCTAGCCCCCAGCTGTGCGAGCGTACAAAGCCAGCTCTGCTCCTGTCTGGTGTCTGCCTGGGGGTGAGGAGGGCATGCAGTGATTGGAAGCATAAGAAATCATGCTCCTCAATTTATGAGATCAAATTAATTTCTTTACTGTTATGCTAAATACGGAAGAAAAAACATTTGTTAGTTCAGCATAGTGTCCTAGGAAAATATGACATTTCAGTTAGATAATAAGCTTGTCTGGCGGTAAGGGAAGAAGCAATATTTTTATTAATTATAATTATATTAAAGACTTTCCCTCTCTATGAATTATATGGACTTGTTTGTTTCAGTTAATAACCCAAACCAGTCTTCTCTCCTAACACTGCCACACTGTCTTTTTTTAAATGTTTTTTCCCACAGGCTTGTTCACTGCCATTTGCCAAAGTTATCACACAAACATGGGATGATTCCAACGCATTACGTGATGCCCTGGAAAGAAGACACGAAGAACAGGAAATTCACTTTAAAGGTAGTGGAACCAGAAAAATATTTCCTCCTGTTAACACTATAATAGTGGCCTAATTTCCAAAGGTGCTGGGCACATTCAGTTCCCATTGTCTTCACTTCTGAAAATCTGGCCAGGCAACTGTATTTGCTGTTGTCTCTGCACCATCTTGCCACTGTTTGTGGAAGCAGATTTTACTCTGTAGCTTGTGACAGGTTTCAGAGTGGTAGCTATGTTCGTCTGTATCAGCAAAAACAAAGAGGAGTCCTTTTTAGAGACTAACAAATTATTTTGGGTATAAGCTTTTGTGGGCTAGAACCCACTTCATCAGATGCATGGAGTGGAAAATACAGTAGCAGGTATATAGTACATGAAAAGATGGGAGTTGCCTTACCAACTGGGGGTCAGTCTAATGAGACAATTCAATTAACAGTAGAATACCAAGGGAGGAAAAATCACTTTTGTAGTGGTAATGAGGATGGCCCATTTCAAACAGTTGACAAGAAGGTGTGAGTAACGGTAGAGGGAAATTAGTATGGTAAAATTAGGTTTTGTAATGACCCATCCACTCCCAGTCTTTATTCAGGCCTAATTTGATGGTATCCAGTTTGCAAATTAATTCCAGTTCTGCAGTTTCACATTGGAATTGCCACTTAAGTCTGTTATTGAGTGACCAGGGAGGTTGAAGTGTTCTCCTACTGGTTTTTGAATGTTGTAATCAGGGCTTTGGAGCTGTGCTCCGGCTCCGCTCCAGCTCCAGGCAAAAACCTGCACTCCGCTGCTCCACGCTCCAGCTCCGGGCTCCGCTCCAAAGCCCTGGTTGTAATTCCTGATGTCAGATTTGTGTCCATTTATTCTTTTGTGTAGAGACTGTCCGATTTGGCCACTGTACATGGCAGAGGGGCATTACTGGCACATGATGGCATAAATCACATTGATAAATGTGCAGGTGAACAAGCCCCTGATGGTGTGGCTGATGTGGTTAGGTCCTATGATGATGTCCCTTGAATAGATATGCAGACAGAGTTGGCTCTGGGGTTTGTTGCAGGGTTTGGTTCCTGGGTTAGTGTTTTTGTTCTGTGGTGTGTAGTTGCTGGTGAGTATTTGCTTCAGGTTGGAGGGCTATCTGTAAGCGAGGACTGGCCTATCTCCCAAAGTCTGTGAGAGTAAGGGATCGTCCTTCAGGATAGGTTGTAGATTCTTGATGATGCGCTGGAGAAGTTTTAGTTGGGGGCTGTAGGTGACGGCTAGTGGCGTTCTGTTACTTTCTTTGTTGGGCCTATCTTGTAGTAGGTGACCTTCTGGCTCTGTCAATCTGTTTCTTAACTTCACCAGGTGGGTATTGTAGTTTTAAGAACACTTGATAGAGATCCTGTAGGTGTTTGTCTTTGTCTGAGGGATTGGAGCAAATTCGGTTGTATCTTAGAGCTTGGCTGTAGACAATGGATCGCGTGATGTGGTCTGGATAAAAGGTGGAGGCATGTAGGTAAGTATAACGGTCAATAGGTTTCGGGTATAGGGCGGTGTTTATGTGACCATCGCTTATTAGCTCTGTAGTCTCTAAGGTGCCACAAGGAATCCTTGTTGTTTCTATAGCTTGTACCATCAGAAACAAGCTTCCAGTGTTCTGATTTCTTCCTCTTGACTGTGAATCTCATGAAATCTCAGCTAAAACATGTCTTTCCTTCCTTGGCGATACCTCTTAGTCCTTCTTTCTCCCTCTCTCTCCCTTTGTGCAGGCATTTAGCAATAATGATTACTGAAAGATGCAATACAAAATAGGTGGGCTAAGTAAAGTCTTAGCAAACTGAAGATTGACTAAAGCAACTCCTTAGAAGGCAAATTTGAACTGGATTCTGAAATAAATGATGATCTAATGGAGCTTTTGGAAGGTGGGAATGTATTGTGCTTCTTTGTACGTGCGAGAAGGTGGGCTGTGACATTCTAATTTTCTAGATGTAATGGATTCTGAAGATGTGGTTCTAAGGGATACCTTGTAATAGAGGTGAGAGGAGATAAGGCAGAGATAGTATTGAGGCAGTTTGTGTATATGAGTGATATTGTAAACGTGATAATGGATAGATCTGCATAGATAGAGGTAAAAGTAAAAGATTTGCAGGAGCTGATGATGCTAGGATTATTACTAATGGGGACAAATGGAAGGTCTGAGTTGAGAGACTAAGGGTATGAAACCACATGTGTCTGATGAAGTGGGTATTCACCCACGAAAGCTTATGCTCCAATAATTCTGTTGGTCTATAAGGTGCCACAGGACCCCTTGTCGCTTTTTACGAGAAAGGTAAGTCAGCCTATTAGATCAACTTACAGCCATCACAGTAATTATTAGGTGGTGCACGTCCACACTACCCTCCTTGGGGCGGTGATGCACGTCCTCACCAGGAACACTTCCACCAACCTAAGAGGAGCAGTATGTGGAGCTGAGAACCCGGTCTCTCAGCTCTGTTGGCAGCTCCCTGGCAAGAGCCTGGCTACCCCACAAGCTCACAGGCTCCCAGCAGGCTGTGCCCCGCTCCCTGTTACCCTCTGGAAGCAGGGGGAAGCCCTCTGGGCTTCTGACCCTGGTTCCTAGCCAGGAGCGGGGTCTATTCTTGCCCCAGCCACCCAGCTCTCCAGAGGATAGGGGGCGGGGGGAAAGCTAGGCTCTAGCTACCTGGCTTTCTTGTCAATTTACAGTTGCTGCCACAGACACTGCGTTGCCCTAACTACATCTACATAAGCCTTACGCCTCTCGTGGAGGTGGAGTTATTATGTGAGTATAGTAGGGCACTTACATCGGCGGGAGGAAGGCTGTAGTGTAGACACTGACATAATTAGGTCGACGTAAGCTGCCTTATCTCAACTGAACTGTGTAGTGTAGACCAGCCCTAAGTAGAAGAGGTTGAGATGTGTTCTTGAGGATGTTTCATTTTCCAAGAAAAGCCATTCTCTCTCACACATTTTTGTTGAAGGAAACTGAGAAGCTGTAAGTTTATTTGCTCAAGACAGGCTAAGTTATTAAAGGAATGAAAAGAAATATACAACAGAGCATGATCAGCATAAAAGTGGTAAAAAATGAACTGAACTGTATATTTTTGTCTGTAAAGCACCACACACTGGGGTACATTTTAAACCATTCTCAAATTCAGAAACATTTAGACCCCTAAAATATTGAGTAATATATTCCAGCTTGTCACTATAATGTCACAGAAGGGACACTAGCTAAGTCTAAGATGTTTATTTTCAGATGTTTATTTTCAGTCACTAATAGCTTTCTCAAAATATGTCCTTTTAGGCTCAGATTTGTCATTCTTTGTTTTAGCCTTATGGTAAATTTAAAAAAAAATCTGTTGAACCTTTCTAGAACTATTAAAACAAGAAAAAAGGTTTACTTCTTTTAAAAACTTTCTTATACTTTTTTTACATGCTTGGATAATTCAAGCATTATTAATTGTTTTAAACTTCACACGTATGTAAGTCCTTCCTGAGAAAGAAGTGCTTTGCTAATCAATTTGCAAAGTTAGAAGTAATTCAAATTCACATATAATGAGTTACATTAATATTCCTTAGCTAAGTCCCAATCCTGCAGACAGGTGAGTATACTTTATCTATGAGTGTAATCCCTTATTGAACTCATTGGCTGCTCCCATCAATAAAGTTACTCTAGGAGTCTAGGCCATAAGTGTTTGCATGATAGGAGCCTAACAACTACAAAGTCTGATCTTCCAGAGAGGCATAGTATACAGAAATAAATAGAGATATGTATATTATTCAAATATACTCAAGTGAATGATTACATACATATATGGACATTTAAAGAAATAAAAACAACAAGGAGTCTGGTGGCACCTTAAAGACTAACAGATATATTTGAGGACACCATCAGAAGACCCAACCATATCGGCCACACCATCAAGGGCTCATTCACCTGCACGTCTACTAATGTTATATATGCCATCATGTGCCAGCAATGCCCCTCTGCCATGTACATTGGCCAAACCGGACAGTCCCTACCTAAAAGAATAAATGGACAGGAATGGTAACATACAAAAGCCAGTAGGAGAACTCTTCAATCTCCCTGGACATTCTATAACAGATTTAAAAGTAGCCATACTTAAACAAAAAAACTTTAGAAACAGACTTCAAAGAGAAACAGCAGAACTAAAATTCATTTACAGATTTAACACCATTAATTTGGGCTTGAATAAGGACTGGGAGTGGCTGGCTCATTACAAAAGCAGCTTTGCCTCTCCTGGAATTGACACCTCCTCATCTATTATTGGGAGTGGACTACATCTACTCTGATCGAATTGGCCCTGTCAACACTGGTTCTACACTTGTGAAGTAACTCCCTGCTCTCCATGTGTCAGTATATAATGCCTGCATCTGTAATTTTCACTCCATGCATCTGAACAAGTGAGGTTTTTTACCCACGAAAGCTTATGCCCAAATATATCTGTTAGTCTTTAAGGTGCCACCAGACTCCTTGTTGTTTTTGTGGATACAGACTAATATGGCTACCCCCTGATATTTAAAGAAATGTACCCGTGAAAGCCTCTAGATATGCACATATGGGAATGTATACCACATGTCTAACGCTCAATTCTGGTGTGGATTTGTCTGCAGAAATCAGGAGGCTGGGTGCACAGTGTCAATTCACTGGCTTATGTGCATGCAAATGGGAGGCCCTTTGAAAATTTGGCCTAGAGCAGGGGTGGCCAAACTGTAGCTCTTTTACTCTACATGTGTGCTTCCTGGAGCCCCCCATGCTCCCCATTTTCTGCCTACCAGATTGGGGCTGGGGGAAGCTCATGGCTTCTGCCCTGCAGCGGGGTGGTGGGACTAGGGGCTTCTGCCAGAGATAACTGGTGCCTGCTGAGAAAGGAGGCACAATTTAAAGGTTTGCACCCCCCGCCCAACAGCTTGAGTCACTCGCCACCAGGCACACTTCCCCTCTTCCCCTCAGCTGTCCATCCCTGCAGCTCCCACATAGCTCCCAGTGGAGAAACAGCTGCAAACAGCTGGGAGCTGCAGGGAGGGGCCTCTGCTCTCCCTGTTGCTCCCAGCTGTTTACTACTGCCTCTCCCCATGGCTGCAGCTCCCAGCTTGCCAGCTCTAGCTGCCATACAGGGAGGGGATCCAGCAGCACCATGGGATTGACTGGGGCCAGCAAACCCCCTGGCAAAAATCTGGGGGCATACGTGACCCCACGTGCCCCCCCCCCCGCCATCGCCTCTGTCTTCTGCCCAGTGGGGAGGGGGATCGCTGGGCTTCAGCCTCACGGGGCACAGCTGCCGGGGCTTGGGGCTTCAGCAGGAGTGGGGTTTAAGCCCCTAGCCCTGGCAGGCATGCCCCAGCTCTCAAACTTCTGAAGATTGTCGTATGCAGCTCAGAAAGTCAGTAAGTTTGGCCACCCCTGGCCTCGAGTTTTTGGTTATTTTTGTTTTTTTGCTTTCCTCTATTTACTGAGCCATCTGTTAATAGGTTGTTATATCAAGTAGGGTTTTCAGTTAATAGTATAATTATTAAAGGAGTTAGTTCAGGCAAAAATGAGTTTTTTCATAGGCAACCATTGGAATTTCTTTACACAGCATGCAGAGGTTGTTGGGGTATATACTGGTGCCACAGAAGATAGTCTGTTTTTGGAGCACAGAGAAAGACTTTGCCATGGAGAAGAAAGAAAACACATACGGGAGAAAATTCCTCAGGAAATAATGATTGCAGATATTCCCATATATTCTCATCTCTCCAGGTACCAGAAGTCTGTGATTGCTCATGCATGGAGGATGAAACTCTGACCTGCTTTTTCCCTCAATACAGTCATGTTTGAACTGTATAGGCTATGAAGTTTAAATCTGCTGCAAGAAAAAAACTGTGTGGTGGTTTTTTTTCTCTCTTTAAAATAGAATTAACATGTTTTTAAAGCTGATTAGATGTTCTATTTGAAATGAAAAATAAGTTCTGTCTGGAATTTGACCTGCATATTTTTGATTAGGGAAGGGAAAATCTCAAAAGTTTCAGACTTCCCAGTTTGATTTAGATAAGGCGCATACAGACATTTGGATGCTTATCTGAAGTTTATACAAACCTTTAGACTCTACTCAGCTTTCCACCACCATCTCCAAGAGACTGGTATCAATCCCATTCTTAATCCTCTATTGTTTTCTTGGAGAGAGTCCCACTAGCTGTCTACCAGCCCTCCTTACATCTTCTAAGGGTGATTAGCTAGCTTCTTCTCCTGGCTCTTCAGGGGGCAGCTGGCTGGTTCACTTCCCTCTTCCTTTTGTTTAGGTGATAGGGGGAGGAATGCAACTATCTCCAAATGCTAGGCAGGTAGCAACATCAGGATCTGGAAATTGTCCAACTGATACTGTTGCAGCTGTTGCACTTGACTCCGCTCTAGGTCTGAATTGCTTCCAAGTATATTATAGTAAAAAGAAATTCCCATTATTGGCTGAAGGAGGAATTATGGGTTTACAAAGCCACTGAAATCATGGGGAAGTAAAGGAGACAAAATTTGGAGAAATACTAAAGGGTCATCAGTTAAAAAGGTGCTGAAAGGCTGAACAAATATAAATGGAAATAAATAAAATACATAAATGAGAACAGTTGGTTCCAGTCATACAGGAGCTCTCTGTATGGAATCAATTCCACTTGTCAATCAAGAACAGATGCCATTAAAATGATTTAATTGAATTTTGCATTATAATGGCTCTTTAGTCATAATTGCTTATTCTAAAAATGCCACAGGTTCAAACTTCAGAGAGTGAGAAATGGGGAAGAAAGAAAATGAAAAACCCTTTAAATTTAAAAGCTGCTAAGTATTTATAAATGTTCTGGGATAAAAAACATACTTTTGCATAACCAGTTTTGTTTATATTTCACATCTGCTGAAAGGAAGACAATTAAGAAATTTTGGGCTTGACATTTTTATACGCTAATAACATTTAAAAAAAATACATTGGCATGTAATTTTAAAATATTGCTCTCTTCACAAATACACATTATTTCAAATTGTGATTAAATCTAACAGTATAAAACTTTCTGCTCTGGGTTGAAGAGGATTTCCCCTCTCCCCCCCCGACTAGATCAAAAGCAGAAAGGAGCTGTCTTCAAAGCCTACGTACTTATAAATTAAAATATAAAGTCACCATGAGCAAATGAGCAGTAGGGTTTCAAGAACATTTTTATACATAGTTAAAATGTACTCAATATTTTGTGTCTAGAAATATTAATGACAAAATAGTTTTTCACCCTAAGTGGTTCCAAATCTGAAATACTTTCATTTTTTTTTTTAAGAAAGAATATAACATTACATTTTTATTGCTTATGGCTTTTCCCTTCAGAGCTACTGTAGTTGTGGATAAAATCTGCAGCTGACATAATTTTCTTTTATAGATAAGGAAATAAAAATATGACCTAAAGCATCACTCCCAAAAACTATGAGTCAGATTGGCGTCCCTGCGACATCAGCACGCCGGGACGGTAAAAGGCTTGCAGCTGGTTGGAAGGAGAATGTTCCTGATAATGAGCATTGTGCTGGGCTGCCATAAGCAGCTCTACTCAACTCCCCGCCCCCTTGTGCCCTGGTACAGGGTGTGTGTCAGGGTTGGGGGCATGTAGTGCTGTGTTAATTTTGATGGAATAAATGGGCCCAGAGAGTCAAAGGTGTTAACATAGCCCTATGACTGTACAATGATAAACAATTAAATGTTTTGGGAGGGGTTGAATACAGAGACTTTGGCCTGCTTAATTCCATGGCAACTACCTCCATTATATATCTTTATTAAAGATACAGAAAAAGAAGAATAAAGAATTTGAAATGTGAAGTACTGTATTAAGTAAGGTTTTCATTTTAACAATATTCCTTATTCCCCTTTGCTCTAACTACAGAGTTTCTTAGGGGAAACTGCCTGTTAGACAGTTTTTTAGATGGTATTATAGATAACAATGATCCTTCTTGGGGAAAAGAGAAAATTAGTTGAGATGATCTGGCGGTGTTGTTGCAAACTGATTCTGCTTCCTTTAAAGAAACAAAATAACCCAAATGCACACAGAAAGGGACAGAAAAGAACAGTGATATTAAATGCAGCTCCTGTCTTTGGTGCTGACTCTTATTTACAATTTCACGGCTAAAAAAATAGACATGGCACCCTATCTTATTAGCCACTCCAGGACCTAGCAAATTTGTACCAGCATTGAGCTGTATAAGGCCTGGTTTACACTGGGGGGGAGGGAGATTGATCTAAGTTACACAACTTCAGCTACGTGAATAACGTAGTTGAAGTCGACGTACTTAGATGGACTTACCGTGGTGTTCACCGCGGTGAATCAACTGCTGCCACTCCCCCATCCACTCCGCCTGTGACTTTTGCGGCAGTGGAATACAGGAGTCGACGGGAGAGCACTCATGGATTGATTTATCACATCTAGACTAGACACGATAAATCGACCCCCGCTGGATCGATTGCTGCCCGCCGATCCGGCAGGTAGTGTAGACATACCCTGACATTGCTTTTAGCTACCTCTTGGGTCACAGGCTCACGGCATTGTTGCAAAAGAGACAGTCTTGACCAACTGAACTAGACTTTTATTAAACAGAAGGCAAAAAGAGAGAGAGGAAAGAAAAGAAATAAGGTGGGGAAGGAAAATGATGTGGAAGGGATGAGGGTAGTGGGTGAGTGACAGCAGGAACTCAAGTGTCACATCCCAGGTGGTATTCAAGATTTAGTGGAATCCACTGGAAGCGGTAGGGTGACCAGACATCCTAATATTATCGGGACAGTCCCAATTTTAAGGGACTTGTCCCGCATCCTGACCTTACATTGGTCGGGATGCCCTTTGTCCCGATATTGGGGACCGTCTGGACCGCAGCTGCGGCGCCGCCGCTCACTACTTCCTGGGGCAGTTCCCAGAGCCCACCTGCCAGCAGGAGTGCCACAAGCTCCAAGGGCGGGGCTTGCAGGCACCGGGAGCGGGCAGAGGGCCCTCTGCCCCCGCCACTCCCCACCCAACCCGACCCGCAACCCTAGGAGCCAGAGGGACCAGCTTGCCGGATGCTTCCCGGGATGGGAGCCACCTCAGGTGAGCACCGCTGGGACTCCCCACCTCACCCCCGGCAGGTCCCTCTGGCTCTTAGTGTGCGGGGGGCTCTGCATGCTGCTGGCACCTGCAAGCCCCGCTCCGCGGCTCTGGCAGCTCCGATTGGCGCTTTTCCCGGCCAATGGAAGCCACCGACCTCGCGCTTGGGGCTCTGGACATAGTGGATCCAGGGGGTGCTGGGCAGGGGAGCTGTGTGGCTCAGCATGGGCCCACCCCCAACAGGAAGGGGCACGCTGGTAGCACATGGACCAGTGTGCCTCTGGCTCCGGTCGAGGCTGTGCACTGTGTCTGTCTGTCTCTTTGCCCTCCCCACCCCCCGCCCCTCCGCTCGCCCAATATGTCCTGATATTTCACTCTTGAGATCTGGTCACCCTAGGAAGCGGTGATGTCATCAGTCCCCTGTCTCTGGCCCAGTCTAGTCTGAACATCTTTCAGGATCACAATGATGAAGGCCCAGAATGTCAGGGTGGATCCCAGGTCCCCAAGAAATGGTGAGAGCAGCTGACATGGTGAACCTTGCCCTTCAGTCCAACTGTCCCCAGTGTTTTTCACACCCCCACCTAAGGTCTTTTTTTAAGGACCCCAAAAGGGAGTGATGGGTGCAATAGTCTATCCCCTAATTATTTGCTCCACCAATTAGACCTAATTTCCAATGCACCAGTGTTAGGCCATTAATTTCCAGTTCCATTCTCCTCTTGTTTACCAGTCATCTCAACACAATCCTTGGGTTGCATCAGTAGACTTTAATTTGAACTCATTCAGTCTGTCTTTAACTTTTACTGACCTTTATAAATAATTGTATATAACAGGCTGAGCTGGACCTTTGTTACCTTGAACAACTTAGAGTACAGGCCACTGCACAACAGCAGGGCATAACATTACTGGCATTCTTGGTAGCATGGCTGCCCATAGGCAGTCCAGGAGAGGCTGCTGTAATTTAGGGCACCTCCTGGGCCTAAGTTACTCCAAAGGCCATTTCAGTAGCATTTCAGCCCCGGAAGCAGCCCAGAATCGAATGAGGGGTGGAATTAACATTCTGGCATTTCTGAACTATTGAGTGCTTGACTTTGCAACCTTAGTGCTCTTTTAACATAAGTTTCTGTGTGTAATTTATTTTAAGACGTGGGTACTAGATACACAGTCTAATTGGTTTAGTAGTCTGATTTTTTTGCATTTGAAGTCAAGCATTTGAAGAGACGCCATCATCTTCAGGGCTCCCAAAAGTGTCACCTATCATATATCTGTTGTGCAATCTTCTTCGTGTTCTAAAACAGTGGTCTCCAAACTTTTTTGATTGTGCACCCCTTTCAGTAAAAATTTTTTGAGCACGCACCCCCAATATATGTATATTTATTTATGTATAAATTATATACATGTACTATTATACTAATATATTATGTACATTATAAAACATACAAAATATAAATTAAAAAAGGATGAGATAAAGATTAAATAAACAATATTTTTAAAATATTTTTATTGTATTTTATTTATTGGTACAAAAAAACTTTTTGCTCTCACAAAAAAATTATTAATAATATTTTTTAGTGAGAGCAATGTGATTGAATATGCTTCATTATTTCTGAAAATCTTGGTTTAACACTTTGTGATACAGCGATTCGAAGGTCTGGATTAGGGTTAGGGTGCGGGAGGAGGCTCAGGGCTGGGGCAGGCAGGAGGTACAGAGCACTTACCTGGGGCAGCTCCTGTTTGGTGCAGGTGGCTCTGCGCAGTGTGGCATCACCCCCATGGCCACGATTCTGGGAACTGCATCCCCCCACCCCCCGGGCCACCCGGAACGCAGGGGCTGCAGGGCCCTGGGCTGAGGGGGCCCTGGGGCCCTGGCCTGCAGCTCTAAAGCCCCTTTCAGAATGCGGCCCTGCGAGCACAGGCTGGAGGACTCAGGAGGAGCAGGGGCAGCTGCGCAGCCAGCGGCCGGAGAGGAGCAGCGCTTTCTCCTTCAAAGTGCCGCTTCTCTCCAGCCGGCTTTGAAGGGGAAAGCGCCGCTTCTTTCCAGCCTCTGGCTGTGCAGCTGCCCCTGCTCCTCCACGGGCCGGAGGACTCAGGGACGCATTTTGAAAGGGGCTTTAGAGCTGCAGGCCAAGGCCCCGGGGCCCCCTTAGCCCAGGGCCCTGTAGCCCCTAAAGCCCCTGCATTCCGGGTGGCTCTGCCTGCGGGGGGGCAGCTTCCCCGCTCGCTCTTTCCCTCCCTCCTCCGGCCGCCCTTTTTTTTTCCCCCCTCCGGCGGCACTCCTCCTGCCACGCCCCCAAATGGATCGTCTTGCGCACCCGACTTTGGAGACCACTGTTCTAAATGACTTTTTATTTTTAATTCACTCACTGGTCACTAAGAAATGCAATGAGGGGAAAATAAAATGTCACTATTAGATGTGATCACACCAAATTACAATAAGCCTGTATATTCTGCAAGTGAAGGGGATCCAGAGAGAAAGCGGTTAAGACAGTGAATTGACCCAACATGTCTCAGCTGGTAGAATACTACTGCTGGGCCACGGGGATGGGCTTGCTTGTCTGGGGACTATAGTTGAAGACAGAGTAATAATAAAATGCTTCTCTCATATTTTAATTTTGGCCCTGAAGCTCTTTAATATAATGGTGAAGAAACAGTGAAGAAAAAAATAATGCTATATAAAGTTTAGGCCTGGATCCTGTGAGGGGTCAGGTGCCAGTAGGCATGCAGCTCATTGCAAGACTGCATCCATAGTGCGGAACAAATCTGTCTTAGTAGCATCAGAGTCTTGGAGGAAAAAGTTGACTTCAGAAGAAAGTCCTTCCCTATTCAATGCTCTCTTTGGACCATGTTGTACCTGGCCTTATGTGGGGGTGGAAAGATGAGTGTATAACAAATTTTCCCCACTCCTTGCATAACCCACCTAAGGGCAGGCAAAATTGTAGCCCTGCATTCACAGCAGCACAGGGGCTGCTCCATCACTACTCTGCTGAGAGCACATGGCACCCCAAAAGGGCTTGAGAGGAGGTGGAGCCATGACTTTGTTCCCCTTATGCACCAGCCTGTGGAGCTGGCCCCACAAGATACATCCTACAATGGGATGTAGTAACAGGTGTGCAATCTCTGCCCAGGAGTTCCAGGAAGGCATTCACATGTACCTGCTAAATGGGTTCTTAGATGTCCACCTACATCCTTCTGCTCCTTCTTGAGTCACTGGGCCTTATTCATGGCCGTTAACCTACCATTAACCAGCCGAGGAGGATTTCCTCTGCCTAGGTGAATTGTCAGTTGCCACAGAGATACCAGAGTGCCTCTGATACCTCCAGCACCAGCTCCTGGAATATGGGACATGGCTCAGAAAAAGGAAATGTGACTAGAGCTCTTCTACACCTGTCTGATTTGAAGCTGTGAGTAGCTAGGTGTAAAATAGAGCCCTGTAGCAGCTCTATTTTATGATGAGGCCCAGACCAAGAGTTTTGCAAAGTCACCTTTTCCCTTCACCCCTTCTCTGGTTTTACAGTGAACATAGCTCAGCCAAACCATAAAAATCTGCCCATTAAATTAAGGGCAACAGATAGGATCCCCATACTAGTGATTGTGCTGGTGGACTGTGTTGCTATGGAACAAGCCTCATATCCTCTTATGCATCAGTTTCCCAATCTGTTAAAAAGGGTATGTAATAACTACCTCCCAGGAATAGTAGCAAGATTAAATAGTTAAGGCTGGTAAAGCACTTAACAATGAGTGCTCCGGTTTTGCCAAATTAATATTTGATGGTAGCAATTATATTTCATTTTCTTTTTTCTTAAGTTGGCAACAAGCAGGCTCTGTTTTTCTTATACAATCATCACTCTGTCATTTTAAACCCGCATGCTGTTAGTAAATTGCTTGGTATTTCTTGTATTATTTTTTATTCAATTTTGCTATTCTGAGCTGTCTGTTGTCTGCTAACTGCTTAATTTCTCTTGTTTTCAGTCCCCCCTCCCCATAAGAAGGACTCAGGATTAGTTTGCTTGAGAGAACATTCTTAGTTGCATAAGAATCTCTGCTTCTTTAGTGAAGTCATTCATTATCTTCAACATGAACTTCAGAGCTGGATTTAACCTCTTGTATGATTAAGGTGTCATTTTGCGATGAGTTATTCATGCTCCAGCTCTGTATTGTAGTGGGTTTGGTTGGGTGGTCATTTCTGGACAGAATGTGCTCAGCCATAGAAAGAGTCTCAATGTCACATTTCTGTACTAGTAAACAAAACATTTTAAAAATTGCTCTTATTGTCAAAACACTTCTAACTGGAGTAAGAGCAACATCTGGAGTACAGGTGTGGAATCTCCCACAGATGAAGTTGTCTCAAACATTTACACGATTCTTTTTAATTTAACATCTCTATCTCTTTCCTCAGTGCCTCCATATTACAAATTGGCTGCATTCTTTCCTTCCCTAGATTTATGAGGTAATCAAAGGCGTCTATTCTCCCAGTTTAGCCAAATGGAAGTGGAGCAAATTAATGCCTAAGTTCTGCAGCTGCAATGAAGGCTGTACATTCTCCTGCCTAGTCTATGGGGTGAGCCTTGGGAAGAGGGTGGGACCCAAACAAGAAGAGGCTGAGGGCTCCCCAACCTACATATCCAGCTAACTGTATGCAAGGACTTTCCCTCGATCCCCAGCCAAGGCAGCACAGCTCTGAGTTCTGCAGCTGTCACTGGCAGCATTAATTCACCATGAGTTTTCCTGCAGACAGGCTCAGAGTTTTCAGTGGGGGCTTGCCAATCGGTTTGGCTCCACCACAGTTTCTTCCTCCACCTCCCTTCCTTAACCTCTGGTTCTGTGCTCTTTTCTCATGCATCCCAGGGACATGTGGATCATTTGCAGAGGTGGTCTCACAACAGAGAGGAACAGTGATCCATTTAGCCATCTTTCCTGTACACAAGATCTATGTCTTGACAGATTTACAATTTCTGAGACAGAGATTAATGGATGGGACCATGGTGGCTTATAAAGATGATACTTTGGGAATATCTGAGGCTGCCATCTTGGACTCTGAAATTTAAGCTTCCCCCCTGTGAAATGGAGCTAATAATGCTGCTTACCCACATTTTTAAAGAGAATTGAGATCTATAAATAAATAAGTTTTAAGTCATATTATTATCACTAAAAGAAATTGGCTTATAAGAAGAAAGGGAGAGAACTCTGCATTTTTAATATTATGAAATGCTTAGCTACTATGATGGTTGCTATAGAAACACAAATAAAATAAAATAGACATAACTCAAAGGAAAATGGTGACTGCCATCAGGGAAAGATGGAAAGAACAGAATAAGGAGAAAGGGAAAGCTTCTCTAGGGAGCATTATTTTCCAAGGTACAAATCATTTAGTTTGTATTTGTTTCATATTTTTCTTGGGTTTTCACTGTTTTTTAATTTATTTGTCTATTAACTTTTCAGTTGGGCAGCAAAGTTGGATAGATAGCCCCAGAGATGAAAGTATGATGAAAAATTAATTCAACAAGTAAATTTTGAGGAGGGATTTAAAGGAAGCAAATAAGGTGAATTACACAGAGAACTGTGGCTGCCCTTTTCTCCAGATATCCCACATTTGCTGCCATACTGCTGCAGCGCCATTGGTACTAGCAGTGCCATGAGCTCTAGTATAAACTCACTACCAGTGTCATATTATTATTGTATTTATTTGTATTATCATAACACCAAGGACTCCAGTGATGGCCCAGGACCCCAGTGTTTTAGGTGCTGGACAAACACAGAATTGTTTAATAACTCTGCTCAGAAAGCATAGTGTTAAAATGTCTGTGGCTGATCTGCTGTCTTGCTCCCATGGTTGTTAGCACCAATGGAGCTGCAGTGGTAGTAATTCAGCAAAAGTGGAAGGTGTAGACAAGGCCATTGAGAATCAGGCTATTCCAGGCACTGGGGAGGCAGGTACTGGATAAAGCATGGAATCATGACTAGGAGACAAAAGTTGATTTACGGTTACTTATACAATTATTTTCATATTTGTGTTAAAAAGTAATTTTCTTTTACAAACTTTGCTACTGCTATTTCTTTAAGAGTAATAAGAAAGAAAATGTTACCCACCTGTTCTTTTTGTTTATATGTGCATTTGTGTTCCTTGACATGTGTGTCTCCAGAATCTTGCAATCCAGGCACCATTGCATTTGTCCCTCAGTGTCCTCATTTCCTACAGAAGGATGAGCTTGATCACCTTTAACTAGAGATAAGTCTGAGCTGCAAAATTTAGATCCAAATCCTGATTTCAAATACCTCAAAGTCTGAGTGATTGGGACAGGGGTTTGGTTCCATTTATTTCAGAGGTATGTCCCTTTGAGGTGTAACCTGTGCCATG